ATGTATATAGAGTGATTGCACTATAATAATACTGATCCAGTGTTATATATTATTAGGATTAGGAATTATAGCAGGTTAGTATGGTATAATTTTCAAATAGTTACTGTCTGGTCATCCATACCATACTGATCTGCTATATAATTATTTATTTTATTTATTTATTTATTCGATATTTTAAAATTTTTATATAATAATTACTGATAATCAAAGATTGGCGCAGATGGAATCAATTCTATTGTACGCTCATTTGCTAACATTGAATCACTCGGTTGGGATTACAATGCTCATGCAGTAGTGGCAACGCTGCAGGTGAATCCGCTGGCTGAAAATGTTACGGCATGGCAAAGATTTTTGCCGACAGGCCCTATCGCAATGTTGCCGGTATGAACCTTAATATTATTTATAATAGTTAGCAAATATATTGTTTATAACAAGTTTGTAAATGATATTCATAAAAAAAAGATCAAAAACGGATTCTCATCGATGGTGTGGTCTACGACCCCCGCTCTTGCTTCCAAGATATGTACTCTTTCAACAAACAATTTCATACATTTGGTAAATGCTGCATTTCGTCTTCGAATCGCTGATTTAGAATATTTATATTCTCAACTGGAAAATAAAGATATTGATTTTGGGAAAGAATTTGAATGGCGACAAAATGTTGAGAAAAAAAATGTAAATCCTGTAGAAATATTTCCTCCATTAGTATCAAATGTACAAGAGCAAAGTCGTGCTAAATTTCCGTTAAAGTTGAGAAATGCTGAAAGTTATATAAAAGAAAGAATTGTTCTTGTTGGGTAGGTTTTAATAACATCAACTAGGTTATTAATTTTCAGATTTTACTTTTATTAATTATGTTTCAAAAAAGAGATGCAGCACATACAATACATCCACTTGCTGGACAAGGACTGAATCAAGGATTAGCTGATGTGCAAAGTTTAGTCAAAGTTATCGAACATGGTGTTATTACAGGCCAAGATTTAGGTAATTTAAATTAATAATTTACGCTTTTAAGTGGCAAATAATTATTATTAAAAGATTTTTTTTTTTTTAAAAAAAAAAAACAAAGGAAATATACAATTACTTAAGAATTATTCATCGGATAGATACTTATCCAATCTTATAATGTTGGGATCAGTTGATAAATTGCATAAATTGTTTGGAAATAATTTTGCTCCTATAGTTTTTATAAGATCATTAGGATTACAAATGATCAATAATTTAGAGCCTGTGAAGGTTTGTATAGAGTGTTCTTTTTATA